GCTGTATTTTTTTGTTGTAGAACACCAAAATGGGAATTGTCTTTCTTCAAATGTGACATTATGATTAATTTGTAATTGAACTGCATATGTTTGTGTTTTGGCACCAAAAGTCAGAAAACACCCTCCTTCTACACGTATACAATCATTTATTGCTTGCAAAAAGATACATTGGTCTTCAGGAACACGGTCGCATTTCTCCTGCCACCAGCTCTCCATCCCCAAACCCCCGGGGTCCCCATCAGAAGGTGATTGCTGCCACTATTAGAAACCTCGTATACTTTCTCCTTCTCCATGTGTTCTCCTCTGCTCTGCCACTGCTCCTCCAGGCGCAACACCTCTCAAAGAATGGGCTCTTTGATGTTGTTGAGCACCCTGCTTATCAACATACCTGGGAACCATGCCCAAGGAAGCACAGCGGATAATTACAAACCAATCAACAAACACGGCGTGCTAGCTGGATGTCGACAAGTTGACCGTGAGCCAATAGGCAAACAGAGTGAGAAAAACAGTAAAGATTCCATGAGTCATCCTGCACTGGACTCCAGGACTGAACGAACAGATCAAAATTCCCAGACTAACAAATGATAAACCTGACTCACAGAGGATGTAGAGGCTAACCACAGTACTCCAAATATGATCCTATCACAACGACAGTATTGCAGTGCATATAAAGGCCAAGATCATATGTAATGACAGGTAATAAAGACAGGAGGGGAGTTTGATTGTCATAGTCTAATACGCCCCTGCAGTCTAAGAACTGTAACAGTCCAATCTATAGCAACACTTTAGTCATTAATGCATTTCTGCTTCACATATCCAACACTAATTACCCACTGTGGTAAATGTCACCAGCCTCTTAATGGGGTTTTACTGCTAATTATAAAGGATACTTTCACAGGTTACTATATTGGCACTGCAGTAGGGTTGCAATTTTAGTTCAGAAAGCATTTTGCCATTCTTACAAGAAACAATCATCTATTGTATTGGGATAGTGTGGATTATTGCATGTTGTGAAGTGCTGGGTTGCAACAGTATAAGCAAGTTACACTGCAATTCTTTCATATAAGTTCATGTGACAGTCAGGTAGAAGTTAATAAAACATTCAGGTCTGGAAAAGTTTGTTCCCATGAAAACTAAACATGGTGGTTTTCTTGTTTTGCATCCATAAAATATTAGCTGTATTTCAAGGAGGAAAAAGAGGGGCTGGTGCACTACAGTAGCCTTTGGGTGCACCATAGAGGTGTTAGCTCAGACCCTACGCCTGGAGACGAGGGGAAACACTGTCATTATACATTTATAACAGCACTGCCTGGCCCCTGGCCTGCTCTGCCTCTGTTTGTGTCCCCTATTGATTTTGCACTGATTTCGTTTGATGAGAGTATAGGGACTGACACTTTGATTACATTTACCATTATACAGTGTGGGCTTTGTGTGAACATATTGGATGTGTTGGTGTCGGTAAACAGTAAACAGGAATATAGTGTTCTATAAATGGAGAAATGTTGCCAAATGTCTAGCTTTAATATGACCTCACCTATATGGGGTATGTTGTTGTTGTGTTGGGTACTCTATCAGCAAGATAACTCAAAGGGAATGCGTATTGGAGATATTTCTGCAATATACAGTGGTCAAAATATTCCTTTGTCGGAAACAAGAGCTTTGTTTCTTCATAAAGCAGTTACATAGTTAGATCTGGCACATTTTGACTCCTTTCTTCTCCTCTTTTGTTGAATTTAAAAACTTTTACCAAAAATACACTGTGCAGACTACAGTAGGATGACTGATAAATAGCTGCTAAACACTTCCTGTTGTGTAAATTATATAATATTAATAAAAAAACAATAACTTACAATGTTAGTTTTCAAACTCTAGCATCAGTAAATGTCACAACCCACCCATCCCTCCCTTGTAGTATTTTGTATATTATAGGTTTGGCATTTGGGGAGGGCACTTTATTTTGTTGGTTCTTCACAGCTTTGTGCATTTGTCCTGCTGCTACATCAGGCGTGAATATTCAAAGCAAAAGGAAGAAAGGAGAAAAAACACAACAGCCACAGGGTAAAAATGACCATGCTACATTATCATACATCATGTCACAGCTTAAACATAAAACCACATATTTATTTTTTTGTTTTCTGTGGAATCCTTTGTGATAATCTTACAATAAAATCATATATAAATGAAAAGGTATTTATTTACTATAGACTTTATTTTAGGAAATATACACAACACATACAACATTTAAAAAACAGATATGATACATTGTGGTGTGATAATGAAATAGCAACAATATTAAAACAACAAATTTATGGACCTAATCTCTAACGAATGTTAACATTTGTTTTTTTTGCCAAAATTATGACTTCAGTAAATGTTGTGAATGCAACCGATTGAATAGGTTGCTCAACTCAACAACCATGTTAATTGGAATGTTGATAAACAAGCTTCAGAGGGCAGAGGAAGCATACATTCTCACCTGGTTATTGAGTGAAATGCAGCATAGCAATGCTCGTAAAGGTTTGCTCTTTCAATACCTTGTGATATTGATGTCATGCCTCATTCATTGTAAATGAAATCACTATATTAGGACCGTATTTATTGAAAACCCAGAAGGATGTATGTTAAATTGAAACTCCATGCCCTTAGTTATAAAACATGCAACGTTAGCACAATATTTCCTTTTCATCAAACTCGAACTACAACCTCAGGGTGTAAGGAGGCAGTCAGTGTTAACAGAGCTTGTTTCAGTAAGCACAAGCCAATAAATATTTTTTTACATACATGATGCGTGACCCAGGAAATTAAAAGGGATACACTTTATGCTGTATAAACACAAATATCACTGGTGGTACAATTTACTAAATTTTACAAAAATAAAATATTTCTTCAAAATGTTTGGACAGAAATAGCAAACACTGAGCAGTTTAATTTGGGCAAGCCATGGTCGGTCACCAAGTGCCGAATGCATAAACGGAAGCCTTCACATATTACCAAATGAAATGCAGCATTACTCTATTTCTCATGAATGTCACATTTATGTCAGAGAAGTAAAAATGAAAAAGAAACAATAACTCAGTGTCACATTCATTTTACTCATTTGATGAATGAATTTTCATTAAAGAACAATTAATCAGCATTCTTCGTTCTGTCGGTCTTGAACACAATCTCTCAGCAGCAGTGAATGTGCTGACAAGGTGAATGTGCTGATTCTGTTACCTGACCTGTGCTATCCCGATTCTCAGCCATTCAAGCACTATCTCTCTGGTCATTATAAGATTATAATAAACTTAAATTATTTCAATTTTTGCCCATGGGTCTGTTTTTGCGTCTGGGTACTTTTTTGCCAGCCGAGACTACATGCTTTTCCTATGCTGCAAGTACTCTGAGCCCCCGTCTCCTGCCTTATGTGCGTGATTGACAGAAATGCATGGTCTGTTTGATCAAAACAAACAACAACAAGGAAAACAGAAAAAAAATAACTGGTTGACTGAAAAACATCACAGAAATAATGAGTAAAGGACTAAACACTGTTAATCTGAGCTGTGTTTGATGCCCAATGAGCTTATCATTTCCACATGTCACTGAAATAAACAAACCTGATCAGACTGAGATCTTTTCTTTACTCTTCAAGCTGTTTCTCTGTGAGAGAGAGCTCCTTTCATCCTTTTGGCACATTTATTGTGATGTCTTAGTTGTCCTCTGATCTGAAGGTTGGTGGTTTGAATCCCGTCCTCAGGTGAATACTATTTTTTTGTCTTTGGGCAAGACATTTAGGCTTCCATATCTTCTGAGTGTGTCAAAGGTTTGAAAGTGTTGTACACAAATGTGAGTATTATAAAAAATTATTTCTCTTTGTTGCCATGACGCATTTCGCATTTGAGCTTGTAGCTATTTTGATTGAGATAAATCATTAACCAATGATTCTGTCCTGAAAGTGGATCAGTAGGCCTACTTCTGGTTCTTGAATGTTTACTCACCCAGATGGTGGGGCTATGGGTATCACAGTCTGTTTGCATCTATTTTCTATTCAAGCAAAGCCCTGATGAATATGAGATATAAATAAAAATTGAAAAATAATTCATGTGAGTGCTGTTCAGTGTCTCAAACCTAAAATGGAAGGTGTCATCACACAAAAAAGGGAATATCTGTCATCCAGATGACATGCCCAATATGTAATCTCCGTCAATTAGGCCTTTGTCTGTAATTTTATTCGTGCATTCGACTAAAGTTACCTAGTGCATTTACATGCACAGCACATTTTATTCAGACAGTGAATCAACATAAGATATTACATTTAACTGTATGCAAAATAATCGAACTTGTGAGCGTTGACACGTTCGTTATTTAAAAACTAAAGTTTTGCAAATGAAAACTCAGTCTATCATAGTCTATACATTAGCTTGGCGATCTCTTCAGTCTGGCGCTGCTCTGGCTGTTGAAGGCGAGGGGAGTGGAGCAGCTCGCATTACCGCTAGTGTGTCTTCTCTCCGGAGCTGTCGGTGGAGGGCAGAGCTGCACAGGCACAGCGCGCGGAGGAGAGGAGCGACAGAGAAGCATTGACGGCAGATTCCAAGTGCGCGGCGCGTACAAGGCAGGCGCACAGGGACCGGGCTCATCGCACTGATCAAAACACATCTCCTCGTCTGATATTCGCCGTAGGAACAGATCGGACATAACCTGCGAGAATGGAAAAACTGACAATCCTTTCACACCTTTAACACGTTTACGGAGTAGGACTTCGATCATCGAGGAGGAAAATTGATTTACTTCTCAAGTTGTTTCAAACGGAATACATTGCTGAAAACAAACTGAAAGGATTTAAGTTTTATTTTTGAAGGCTGAGCTAGTTGAGCCTCCCTTCCATTTTGTCTTGCCCTGATGGAGTAGCCTGTTATCTCCTTCCAATTGCTGGCTAAAAGAGTTGGGGGAAAGCTCCGAATATTTGTCTCTCGTTAAAACGTTACGACCGAGGCGGATCTGATGTTCACGTTCTCCGTAGGATGGTGAATGACCGATGGGGAGCCATGAATAGCTCTTCTGAACTCGAAGATGGGACCCGGCACAAGAACCAGGTATGCGCCCGTACATCCACACACAGACCAGCTGCGTGCTTGAGGTGTGAGGAGTGGTGCATTTGCGTGGTGGTGCAGCCTCGTGGACTTTTAGTCTCCGCATCGTTTGAACACGGCAAGATTCTGCACGTATTGTATTGGGTTTGTTTTATCTTGACAGAATTCTCAGTTTAGCGCGATACGATGCGCTAAAATACGCCCCAAATAAGTGTTTAGCCAAATGTGAACTGCTGGAACATCGCGCCAGGTTCAGGTTGAAAAATGGTTTTGATTTTGGGAGAGCAATTCACCTGTGAAATATGGCATCAGCATTTCGATCCTCATCATCTTGCAGCTATTAACACTTTAGCGCTCTTTCAATGGCTTTTTCCGATCCACAGAGACAAGGAGCGGACGTGAGTTGCGTCTCAGTGAGGCGAGCTTACTTTGGGGAATGGTCAGTGTGTTTTCACAAGGTCAGTGGAGGGTTATTGACAACTGTCCAGAAAGGGAAAAATGAGAGGGATCCTACAGAGAAAGAATCTGATTTCTGAGGCAACTCTGTATGCACTGTGGACTGGGCGAACACACAGTCGCACACAGGCTGTGATTTCATATGGTCTGCCCTGCTTTACGTGTGAATGTGACAGAGGAGACTATGGTGAGGAAGCCCAAGTCCATCTTCATGTATAAAAGCTTTGGTTAAAATAGCCTTAGCATAAAACAAATAAACATGAATTGAACTTTGGCTTCATAAATGAATAACAGGATTGTTTAGGCAGAAAAAAATGCACAGATGTGTCCTTGGTTTGTGGCAGTGTTGTCGAGGCAAAAGTATTGAGAATGAACTTCTCACCAACTCCAAAAACAATCTAAATGAATTCCTTAACTTCCCTATGAACCCATTCATTGTCTTAATTTGATTGTTTTAATTCTCCCTTCTCCTCCCCCTGCTGTGTCTCCCAAATCTCACCTGTTGTCTTTAAAAATCTTCTAGCAGAGGTGAACTCTGCCCACATTTACATATACAGCTAAAGAGATTTGTTATTGATTTGCCTGAGATGAATTAAATTTTTTATTACAGCTGGCTGATTTTCATGTAACCATTATCCCCCACTGAGGTGCAGCAGCTGATCAATGAGTAAGAGAATATGAGTCCTATTTGTCCTCATGTAATCAAAAATGTACAGACAAGCATTTAAACATCACTATTATAAGTAGTGGTACCATTTAGTGAAAAGCAAGAACTGTCAAGGAAATAACATCTTATTTTTAAACCTAGAACAGGCTTGGAAGAACTAATTGCACTTTAATGTGAGTGATAAGCCAAGGGATAGAAAGGCATTATATCTTTCATAAAGCTCAGATCATGCCTTATTTGGAAGTGTGAGATGAGGCGAGAGCTGGGGAAATGTTCGGAGATGACTAATGCTGCTGTATGTCCTTCTGCTCCCAACATCTGCTTCCCTCTACCTCACTTACTGCACACACACACACGTATACTGCATTGTCTCTTGGCTTTGTTCAGAAGCATGAGAATAAATGTACCTAGAAACAGCACATTTGCAGAAAAATAAGTACACAGAGAGGCCTCTGATTTAGTCTCAAACTGTTTTTTTAGTCTGTGAAAAGAAGGTACTGGTCCTACATCACCTTGGCAAAGATATAAGTCTGAATGCCTGGATGCAGGCCTCAGCACTGTGAGATTTATTCTTTTATCTTCAATTATTTACTCAATGTCTCTTCGCCCTGATTTCATGTTGCTTACTGTCCTGTCAGTAAGCATGAGCATTTTATGAGCCAAAACATCTTAATTGAAAAAGCAAAAGAATTGAGTGCATCTTAAAAAGATTCTCAAATATTGAACTTGTGGTGCTCAAATGGATTTGTATGTTTGGATGTTACAAAAAATTCCAGCTATTGACAACAAACATTTTCTTTGCTTGCTATTGACACACTAATTTCCAACTAAGCAGGAAAAAAGTGTTTTCATATCACAAAATTAAGGCCAACTCTTCATGTGCTTCTGCATATTTGATTAGACATCAGTGTCTCTTTTGTTACCAATGAAGTCTAGGAAAACCAAAGTTATGAAATTATCTTAGAAATTCAAAACGTACATGAAATGTGCCCGGAAACAAGATCAGACTGTAGGATGTAAACAGATGTCTATAAATCAGTAATATACAACCGAACATACTATACAAATGACCAAATGAATAAATTGTATTAGCCTATTTAATATTAAGTTTTTTTTGCTATTTTTTAAACATGAAGTAATCTGCATTCACCAACAGTCAAATGCGATTCAATTTGTTTTCGTATAATCCAAAATTAAAACAGCAGGCATCTGTCCCAGAGTATCTCATGTCCTTAGACCCTCCCTCAAGAAAAAAAAGCACAGTGGAAAATGTTGTTTTAACTTTGGAGACTGTATAAGTTCCTAGTGGAGTTCAGATCATGGAGATGCTTGGAGAAGAAAAGGATGTGACTAAAATGAATAAATATGTAAATTACTATGCGACAAATTCCAAGTGTCAAATCCAAATGAAAAAAAAGTGAATGGCAAACATGAGTTTACATTAAGTATTTTGTGGATTGTGGTTAATTGAAATATTGTGTTTTGGCTGCACAACATGAATCAGTGCCTCATGCATGGCCCCTCCTCATCGGTGCTGAGAGGTGCTGCAGCTGTGGAGATACTGGAGAGCAAAATGGACGACTTGTTCATGGTGCAAATTCAATTTATTTGGATAGACCTTCACACATGAGACTCCTGATGCTGACCACAGCCATGAGGTTAATTAGTCTGTATTAAAAAGAAACTTTGTTAAGGCCAGCACTATCCAAAATATTATGTACTGTACTGTACCATTGATGTAAAAGAAATACAGTATAAAATCAGATTATTATCTCCATCTCCTCATGACATCAACTGCCATGCCTTTTGTTTTTGGAGATTTTCTTAGGCTCCATCTACAGCCACATGTTTGTCCTGCTTCAGATTTGACCAGACAGGTGGTGTGAATTATTAAACATGGAAGCCATTTCAGTCCTTGTAGTGCTGAAGACAAGCTCAAAGTTTCTCTTTTGTGGCAGGATCCAATGCAAATGGTGCCCTTGCTTCAAAATGGAGGGGCATATGGGGCTAGATGATCATACAAATTGTAGAGGTGGGCAGCTTATGATGATATATCAATAATATTGTGAATGTTGTTTGGAAAATCGATAGTGGCCTTATCATTTTTTACTTCCAGCAAGATAAAACCATTAAATTACAAGGAAGTAATGAGTGCTTCTAAAGACCTCCAGAAAAGTTCAATGTAAGACACAGGTGAACATTACTGTAAAAATGTGTGAGCGGTAGTAGAGCTAAAAAAAAGTCTAAATGCGTAGGCCAGGCCGTGTATTAATAAAGGACTTTTAACTTTTGTACACAAGAGTACAGATACACAGCCACTCACACATTTTACTGTTATGTGTTCAGCTTTTCCCAGTTTCCCAGAAAGAAATATGGTTTAAATAGAGTCTGTACTACACAGTTGCACAGTGAAACTCTTAACCTACAGCAAGAGGGTCTGATTCCTGCATTGGACAAACCATTTGCATATTCTTCCCGTGTCTCCTTAGGATTCTTGCCCAAAAACAGTTTGGCTCATGGTGGCAGTGCATACAGTTGCATTCATTAATACACTGTGTATAGTGAGAAAAAAAAAGCATTTTTATAATCATGCTAGAAATGCCAGCATCCAGTTAAAGATGTTTAATTGAGCAAATTTGTGACAAGGCCTGTCACAATGACAAATTTTGAAGTACTACAAGTACATATTGCTGAAGAAAATGTATACAATAAACAATAACATTGAAATCTCCACAAAAAATGATTTGAAATGTACAATATTATTAAAACATGACATGCAATAGATACAATAGCATTTCTTCTTTCTTTCTATCATTAATTTCTTTAATGAATGATAGAAGTTATTTAATCAACCCTAGTATTTATCGTGACAGGCCTATATATGATACGTACACTATACTATTTTGTGGAGCCAAATGCAATTATTACAGTTTCACTTCACTAGATGACAGGGTTATGTGTTATACAGTGGCCTTTTGCTGATTGTCGCAGTCCTTTGTATGACAGGTAGAATATGCGCAGAGCTGTGTAATGCATACATGTGGGATACTCTGTGGGCTGGCTAGGATTTTGTGGCTAACCTTGTCAGACTAATGAACCTGCTGAGCTAGCTGGAAGTGGGGAAGGAGGCAGAGAGTGGACTGGAGCACAGCAGAGCCAGAGGAGAGTCTTGGGCCTGGTTCAGTGGGCCTGTGATTTCCCTGTGGGGGGTCCAGCGCTATGGCAACACTAACAACCGCAGCTCCACTTTCTGGCCTGCTCCGGGTGGCAGCATGATGGGGAAACTATGCCAGGCTCTTCAGAAGCTCTTCAAACTCTACTTTCTCTTTTCAACATCAGATGAATGTTAGGATTCTGCTTTGAACCTTCAGCACATGGCATATTTGTGCTCTTATGTATATTGTGAGTATGTTCCAAAGGTATGTGTGCTCACTCTTATCCATACCATATGAACATGAGATGTGTAGAGTCATAGAACAACATGATAGACCAACATGATAACAAATGATAAACAAAAGTATAAATATGGTAGATTATTACGCAATTACAGTGCATTATATAGGGAAATAATACCTTCATAACGTAAACATTTCTAGTCAAAGCTTTTGTGGTATTGTTTGGCCACGCTTTTGTCTTGTTCTGTCCTATCAACCATCTCATTTTTCTTTTGGGTATTAAAATACTATTAATTCATGTGACTCAGAGACATGCAACCCATTCACTTTGTATTGCTGGAGATTGTGGGATCAAAAACCTAAGAGGCTGGCGCTGAGTGCAGTCCTATTGTTAGAATGGATGTACAGTGTGTGTGCTGCTTATGTGTTGGTGGATCAAAGTGGTAACGAGCCATTACTGTCAAAGTCGTTACGTAAGTGAAGAG